GGATTTTAATGGATTTGAAGGTATAAATTATAATAAAAAGTCTATAAACAAATCCCTACTCCCAACCAAAGATTTAATAAAATCCAACCAAGTCTGATTGTCTCCTCTCTTTCGTGGGCAATTTCGGATTTTTTGCACGTAAATCCACTCATCTACTATTCTCTCTGGTTTTGCTTCCTGTTGTGTTTTCTGCCGAGAAGAGTGAACATGATGATGAATCTGGACATCTTATAATCCTTGCGGAAGAAATAGAGGCGCCGACAAGGGCAGAGATCTCAACAACATGAGGGATTGCCATGAGTGACGTCAATAGCTTCAAAGTTCTTTTTTCTTCTTCTTTAATAAGAAAAAAAATAAATGGAGAAATATTTGGCATGATGTGTGTTTTTTCCACCTTAATCATTATCAAAATGTATCCAGTATATCTACAAATAATTCCTTCGTAGAAATGAGAGCTTGAATTTTATATGGATTCTACATATTTTTCAAACTCTACATGGAGTTTACAAATTATTCAAACTCTACATGGATTCTACAAAAAATAAACCTAACTCTACATGGATTCTATAAATTTTTCAAATCCACTAACTTTTTGAAATCTAAAAAAATCCAATAAAATCCTAATTGAATACACCCCCTTAAACTAATCTATAATCTCTTCAAAAGTATTCGATACTTATAATATTGCAAACCGTTGCAGGAACTGAAGCGAAAAAGTAGGAGTGTTGATCTTGAAGATGCAAGGGTTGCAGCTCAGTGGCGCATTAGTTTAAGTTTTAGTATTTGATCAGTTTTCGATTTCGAATTGATGTTTACTTATTGTTTTAAGTACTATTAGTTATTTCAATAAAGGGCAAATTGTTGCTCCATTTATAGAAGTATTTCATATGATCAAATATTTTGCCTCACAAGCATATCCCAATACAACAACTATACTAAGGCTATAAAGTACAAATATTAATTAGTTAATAAAGTTTGTCACGAAATTATGAATAAAGTGATGAACACTGTACTTAGAGATATAAGGATATCTTTATAAAGTTAATAGCCAATTACCCTTTCTCTTTAAATTTTCGAAATTTAAAGCTTGCCATTAACATTAATAAAGCACACTTAATAAAGATCAAGTGATATTAATGCCAAAGTTACATAATAGGAAAGGCAAAAGTGATACGATCATATAATTGACGTTCCCTCAAACGTTATCTAGATAACGTGACTAAAATAGTTAGTCTAATAAAGAGGATTATGTAACATTGCCAAATAATACTACTGAACCTTAAGCACTAAAATAATCATTGTAGACTCTGAAAGAAAAGAGCACTTGGAAACTGTTCCAAAACGATTTCTTCCTTAATAATAAGTAATGAAAGTTAGTCTCATATGAATGAAGACACTTTAACACTTATTATGGACGAGTCTATCAAGGATAAAAGGAGGGTTTCAAATGATCTATAACCAGTTATAGCACTTATATGTCTAGGATAAAAGTCTTATTGAAGACTAGTGGGAGCACGATAAGTATGTTTCATATCATTGACAAAATAAATTAAAAACTTATCAGTCATGAATGCAAATAGTAGTTATGTGCTCAAGTATAAAGAATCCATATAGATGGATCAAAGAACTAGGAATAATCTAAGACCAGTACATACATGGAATTTTTTTTGAAACTTGCATGAATCTCAAGGTAGAGCCTTTTTGGAGACTCACTCTGTAAAAGGACTGCATGGAAATCGTTCCATAGAGTACCATGAGATATGGACTTGATTCATTCTAAAGGAATATATTTTATATATGTCCTAGCTGAGCGAAGAGTAGTAGTCAACTTTGTAAAATTTAACTTTTGATTCTTAAGAAGAGACAAAAGGGTATGGTTTTCTAAAATGGCTTAAGTGTGAATGTTACACACAAAATAGCTTGTTTAGAACAACCATAAGGTAGGTTGAAATTAACAAAAAATAAAAGTATTGACATAGTGTCGTACGCATAACACTGAGATAAATTTGCAATTTTAGAAGTAGCAAAAGAAAGATAGTTTGGTTTTTGTAGCTTCTCACAAAAGGATAGCGTTGCTCCCAGTGTTAGAAACCAATATCTCGTTGTGCTAACAACGATAAGGTTACTACAGGAGCTAAAGAAGCAACACCAAGAAACCAAAACATCATTAGATCTCACCACATAATACGAAGAGTCGTAAAAGTGAAAGCATCAAAATTTGCAAGATAAGAAAAGGACAAACAATCTCTTAACCTATTGACCTAGGCTTTGGGAAAACCTATACACGAGGGTCACACTTCTTGCATGAGGCATACATGGGAACCATAATTGGCCTTAGTGCTAGTGGGAGATTTTTTAATATAAGTGAGCCCTAGAGGCCAACTTATGATTCCATATCTATATTATATCAAAAACAATAGGCCCTAAAGATTGTTTAAGTCGTCTCGTGTGATTTAAACATAGCTTTAGTCCATAGAGTAGGCGCTCTAGTAACACAGATGAGAACTACGACGTTCTGATTATGAGGTTGTTACAAAGATAGAGGCTACGTCTAAAATATCCTTAGTCGAATATTATGACAATACGGACATCATAACATATCAAGACTAATACGTATGAGATGAGATAGCTGCGTCTCATAGGCTATAGATAAAGTGTTATCTGAATCTATACGTGGGCAAACATATTGGATATGTTTCTGGATTGACCTGCTATGAGAATAATATATGGGTTTAAGTTAAAGTGTTAATATTATTCTCATGTGACCATTAGTATAACTATCTTTCGACTTGAAGTCATTACATTCTTTGGTAAGTTGAGTTGTATACTTTGAAGCATGATTTAAGCCATCTGAAATATTGGTGGATGTACAGTTATGTTTTGGGTATGCAATGAAACTTAAGCGAAGATGTGAATGACGTAGATAGAATTTATCCCTTCTTTGCTGAAGTATAATATCTTAGGACCCACTGATTGATGTGACTTGGGAAGTGCATGGCCATGCCCAAATAAATATGTTATTTGAATCCCACAAGTCAATCGAAGAATCAGTAAACCATTGATTTAACTCTAACAAGGTGACACACCCCATACCTTGTGTTAAATCAAGATATTAGTGATAAAGGGATAATAGTTATACAAATAGGATGTGTCGTTGAAGGAATTGTTCCAAGAGCTTTATTCAATAATTTGGGGGTGATAATGTGTTGCTAGATACCGCTTATCACTTGTAGTATTTTATCGATACTATGGCCAATTTTATAGATGCCTAGAATAGGGTCACACACATAGAACATATGAAAGTGTAGAATATTTAAGTGGAGTAAAGTTGCATTTTATTTATATATCGTGTATATTATATTGTATGACAATATGATTAGATACACAAACATATATATAAATAAACATTTATATTTGGACATTTTAATTATGTGATAATTAAGTTTGTCAAACATAATTAATAATAATAAATAAATAAATAAATATATATATATATATATATATATATATATATATATATATATATATATTCGGATATACATATGTATAAATAATAAATTGTTTATTATTATATTATTATTACTAAGGCGCTAGAATGTATATATATTTGATATTTGGACATTTTAATTATATGATAATTAAGTTTGTCAAATATTATTTAAGGAACAAAATATAACATTATTATATTTATATATGTATATTTGCGTGTATATTTAATATATATATATATATCACCGTATATATATATGTATATATGCTTATGTATATTTCGGATATACATATAATAAATGTTACTCCCTCCGTCCACCTAAGATCTTCTCATTACACGTTACGAGGTTTGACCAACTTTATTTTCAATTCAATTTAACTGATTATAGGTGTAAAATTTTAAAATAAAATTTATATAATAATAAACTACATGAAAAGTTCTACAAAACTAGAGGTGACAAGACTACAGTTTCAACTACCAAACGGCTAGTTTTTTGAATGCTTTTCATCCCTATCCTCTCCCTAACTTCTATAAACCTCCTACTTTCGTGATTATCTTCATGAGAGCACTTAGAACACTTTGAAAAATATATTCTTTGAATATCAAAAGAGATTCTACTCAATCCCCTCCTTATATCCAAGTAAGGCAATCGTTTTGATTGCTAAATCATTTCTTGCTTGAGTTTTTCCTCATTGCTTGAGTCTTTGAGAGATATTGTCATATTCTAAAGGACTTCATTGTATTTGCAACAATCTACTCCGTGTTGGGAGAATTACTCGATTGCGGTTTGTTTTCTTACTTTATTGTAAGGGATTTGTATTCTTGGTGTTGGGATTACACTAAGTGGTAGAAATCCTAACGGTTTGTGAAATCAAACGTTAGGTGGAAGAAATCCTGAGTTTTGTGAAATCAAAACTTCGGTGGTAAGATAAGAGGCTTGTGAAATCAAGTTCTCAAGTTGTATTCGGATTGTCAAACTCCGTTAAGTTTGACGGGTTAGTGAAGGCCTGGGCACGATTGCTTCGGGGACTGGATGTAGGCATTTAGGCCGAACCAGTATATATCGTGTGTGCATTGCTCTTATCCTTCACTTAATTTTGTTTGTGGTGCATTGTTTTTATTGAATATTCGTGAAGAACGTTTCCGCGCAAAAAATTAGTCTTTTGGGCAACACCTCTATTCACCCCCCCTCTAGAGGTGTGCGAGGCGTCTAACAAAAATATATATATTTGTATATATATTTAATATTTGGACATTTCAATTATATGATAATTAAGTTTGTCAAATATTATTTAAGGAACAAAATATAACATTATTATATTTATATATGTATATGTGCGTGTATATAATATGTGTTAGACATATATGGCAAGAAGTCTAGTTTTAGTAGAAGTGTTATTTATGGTAGTTTACATATTTGGTGAATCCTAATTCATGTAGGGATTCTCACCTATATAAACACCCATGTATACAATTATTCAGTTGAGTTGGATTGATAAATCAACATTGTATCAGAGCACAAAGATCCGTGTCTCTCTTCTCTGCTGCGTTAATCATCATCGAAGGAAAAAAAAAATTTCGGCACTGCCGATCTCTTCTCTTCTGTTCGAGCCGTGCATAAGCCATGGCTCCTGTATCCTCTAATCCCATGGATCATCTTCCTACGGGTCTCAAGTTGTTTGTCCGGAATCTTCAATCCCTAACCCCGGTCAAGCTTGATGACACCAATTATCCCTCTTGGTCGGCCACCGTTCGTGCAAATCTCCACGCTCATCGTCTTCTCAGCTATGTGGATGGATCTGAACCATCTCCTCCACCTTTTCTTCTCGACGAGAAGGCTGCGGCACCGGGGAAGGATGAACCCCCGGTTATGAAGCCAAATTCAGCCTATGAATCATGGCATATTGTTGACGCTCAGATTCGGGCCTGTCTCCTTGCTATTGTCTCACCCACAGTTCAAACCCATATTCACGCTCTTCCCACCGCGGCTGCAATCTGGAATCATCTCGAGCAGCGGTACAATTCTCTTTCACGCACTCATATTTTTCAACTAAAAGAGCGTTTACATGGTGTTACTAAGGGGACCGATTCGATGCAAACTTATTTGGACACTGTTCTCACCATTGTGTCGTCTCTCAAATTGGCTCATGAAGACATCTCCGAACAAGATATTATTTTGTGTGTTCTTTGAGGTTTACCAGCAGACTACGCCTCCCTCAAGCAAAATATTAACACCAACATTGCCACGGTCACTTTTAATCAGGTCTCCTCTTGGTCGCTGTCTGAAGAATTGAACTTATCTTTTGAGAAAAAATTGTCTCTGGGTGACTCCGGCTCTACTTCGTCAGTTGACATCCATAATGCACTTTTCACTAATACCGGACGAGGCAATGGTAGGGGTCGTGGCCGTGGCCCACCGCGAGGCCGAGGAGGGCCTTACCGTGGCGGTCAAACCGGCGGCAGAAGCGGCAGGCAGCCGTTCTCCCGCGACGACACACGCGGAAGAGGAGGTGGCCGTGGGGTGTCCGTCACATGCCAGCTTTGTGGAAAGCCTGGCCATGGGGTCTGGAATTGTTGGCACTGCTACGACGAATCATACACTGGCCCCCCACAGGCGTATTCTGCAACTCAGTCCACCACATCTAGTTCGAACTGGCATCTGGACACTGGCGCAAACACTCATGTTACGTCTGATCTGGCTCGGCTACACTCTCTGTCACCGTATCATGGCACCAACTCCATCACAACTGCAGGAGGTACCACTTATCCTATTGACCATACAGGCTCAGGTATATTAACCACACCACACCATAATTTTCACCTTACCAACCTCCTTCACTCTCCACACATTAATTCCCATCTCCTTTCTGTTCATCAATTTACTAAAGATAATAACTGCTCTCTTCTTTTTACATCTAAGGATTTTACGATTCGGGACAACCTAACCAATCAAGTTCTTTTCAAGGGCCCTTGTGAGCGTGGCTTGTACTCCATACCGGCGTCCAGTTCGTCTCTGGTGGTCAACTTCGTCAAAGTCACTCCCTATCAATGGCACTGCCGTCTTGGTCATCCTTCAGTTCAAGTCACTCAGTCTTTATTGTCTCAATTAGGTTTTAAATATCAGCATCTAGATCATTGTAATTCTTGTTCTCTAGCCAAGTCTCATAAACTCCCCTTCCCTGTGTCTGACACCAAAACATCTGCTCCATTTGAACTAATTCATTCTGATGTATGGGGACCTACCTCTGTACCCTCCTTTGGGGGATACCATTTTTACATTAATTTTATTGATGATTATACAAAGTTCTGTTGGTTGTACCCTCTTAAAAATAAATCTGATGCTTTTGATGCTTTTCAAAGTTTTCAATCTATGGTTCGTACTCAGTTCAATGCGCACCTTAAACTTTTTCGCACAGATAATGGCCGTGAGTATGTTAATAAAAAGTTTGGGCTGTTTTTACAAAACTTGGGGATTCTCCACCAAAAATCCTGTCCATACACCCCTGAACAAAATGGTGTTGCTGAACGCAAGCATCGTCACTTGGTAGAAACTCTTGTCACACTCCTTTGCACGGCCAATCTCCCCGCCAAATTTTGGGTCGAAGCATTGGCTACTGCAAATTTCCTGATAAATCGCATGCCAAAAAGATCCCTTAATCACAAATCTCCTTTTGAGTCTCTGTTTCAAAAATCTCCTGACTACAACCTTCTCCGAGTATTTGGCTGCTTAGCCTACCCGTGTCTATGGCGTGAAATCACCAATAAATTCCAACCCCGATCCAAACCATGTGTCTTTCTTGGGTATGATTCCTCTTCAAAGGGGTATCGCTGTTTCGATCTCACCACCGGTCGCATATATATTTCTTGTCATGTCCAATTTCAAGAGAGTCAATTTCCATACTCTACCGTCTCTACGCCTACAGGGTCTCCTCCTTCTTCCCCGCCATTCCACGGTGTTCTTCCTATTTTCCTATGGCGTTGCCGGGTACCCCGCCACACGCTCACGAGGCTACCCCAACCCCTCCCGAAACCCGTTCCAGCCCCTCTCCTTCTCCAAAACCGACAAGCCCACTCACTACATGTAATCGGCCCAGCCCACATAATACCCGAAACCCACCCAGCCCACTGCCTACCCGAAGCCAACCCATTTTGCCCACTCNAACCCACTCATCACCCACACCTATCCAATTTGGCACCCTTTCCCCAACAATGACATGTCCTGAATCCTCTCCTATCCCCTCTCCCCCTCCCCCACCCATCCGGCACCCGATGACCACTCGTGCACGAAGTGGCATCTTCAAACCCAAACTTTACTCCACCTCTTTCACCTCTTCCCCACCTACCACCGAGCCTGTTACCTATAAAGAAGCCTCTCAAAGCAGTTATTGGTGTCAGGCTATGGATGACGAGTATAAAGCCCTGCTTGATCAGCACACATGGGAGCTTGTTCCGGCACCTCCAGATCGCATTCCTATTAGATGTAAGTGAATTTATAAAATTAAGCATAATGCTGATGGTTCTGTTTCCAGGTACAAGGCACGTCTTGTGGCCAAAGGCTATACACAGGAATATGGTTTGGACTACTCTGAGACCTTTAGCCCTGTAGTCAAGCAGGAGACTATTAGGGTGGTTCTCTCTCTAGCCGTCAATCACAATTGGCCCCTTCACCAGTTGGATGTATCCAATGCTTTTCTTCACGGTGTCATCCCTGATGAAATTTACATGAAGCAACCTCCAGGGTATATTGATCAGCATTATCCTCATTATGTGTGCAAACTGAAGAAATCACTTTATGGGCTGAAACAGGCGCCACGGGCTTGGTATCAACGTCTCTCTGGTTTTCTTGTAGACTATGGTTTTGGAAAAAATGAACATGACACAAGCTTTTTTGTCAAGCACTCTCCCTCCGGCGTTCTTATTGTTCTTCTCTATGTTGATGATATTATTGTCACTGGGAGTGCCTCCTCTCTTATTTCCTCATTCATCCAAGCTATGCAAAAGGAGTTTCAAATGAAGAATCTTGGTCCTCTTCATTATTTTCTTGGACTTGAGGTGACGCGCAGGCAGGGCCATCTGGTTCTCTCCCAAGAAAAATATGCCCGTGAACTACTCCATAAAGCAGGAGTCGAAGATTGCAAACCGGCGCCCACGCCACTACCCGTACGGCAGCCCGAGGAGGGGGTAAGCCGCCCATTCGAGAACCCCACTTTCTTCCGCAGCTTGGTTGGCTCTCTCCAATACTTGACAAATATGCGCCCGGACATTCAATTTGCTGTCAACTATGTTTGTCAAAGAATGCATGCACCTACAGAACAGGATTTCCAGTCTCTGAAACGCATCCTACGCTATGTCAAAGGAACCCTTGACCATGGTCTGGTGTTCCGGCGTGGCTCACAAACCATCCATGCATATTCTGATTCTGATTGGGCCAATGATATGACAGATGGACGCTCTGTTACCGGTTACTTGATATATCTTGGGCCTAATCTCATATCTTGGAGTACGGAAAAACAGAGTCGCGTCTCCCGCTCATCCACCGAGGCCGAGTACAGGGCCCTCTCGGCCGCAGCAGCTGAGGTGATGTGGATCACCTATTTGTTTGACATTTTACAGGTTAAGCTGCCTCCACCTCACCTCATCTGTGACAACCAGTCCACCATCTGCCTAACCAAGAATCCAGTGTTCCATAAACGCATGAAGCATGTCGGCACTGATTGTCACTTTGTTCGAGAACACGTAATTGCAGAAAAAATGACAGTCTCCTATGTTCCTTCCAGTGAGCAGTTGGCAGATCTTCTCACAAAGGCTCTCTCTTCACCACGCTACTCAGCACTGGTTGCCAAGCTTCCTCTCGTTTCACGAGGTTAAGCTTGAGGGGGGATGTTAGACATATATGGCAAGAAGTCTAGTTTTAGTAGAAGTGTTATTTATGGTAGTTTACATATTTGGTGAATCCTAATTCATGTAGGGATTCTCACCTATATAAACACCCATGTATACAATTATTCAGTTGAGTTGGATTGATAAATCAACAATATGTATATATATCGCCATATATATATGTATATATATGTTTATGTATATTTCGGATATATATAAAATAAATGTTATATTATTTATTTTGTGTTAATTATATGATAATTAAAGTTGACAAAATAAATTGGAAGCTTCCTTAAAGTGCCATTTGAAATTTCCTAAGTAGAATAGGAATGGGATTTGATTTCCTTCCTAAACTCTAAAAGGAACATTCTTATTAGGAATAGGAATGGGGATTATGCTCCTTATAAATAGGAGATCATCCCACCCCTTTTTAACTACTAGAATTTCGGCCATACCATAGTTTTAAGAGAGAAAAATTTGTTTTGTTCTCTTAATACTTTACACCAAATATTTTATATTTTAGAAATATTCCAGAGTAAAATTACTAGCATAATTTTCTCTAGAACACTCTTCGTTGTTCGTGTGTCTCAACTAGAGGTCATATACTTTTGTGGCTAGCTCTTGGATCAATCCATCAACCTACACATATCGTTACTTGCTCGCCAAGAAAGGTATATTTCTAAACAATAACTTATAATAATCATAAGAGGTCCTGGGTGGATCTACGTTTGGACCCAAAATTTTTATATTTCCGCTGCCCTATCCAAGCGTAGAACCCAACATATATATATACTAGTTTTCTATCCCGTGCTTCGCACGGGCTCGTATAATCTCACGTAAAATATAACTATAAATTTCAAAGCTCTATAGCATTTTAAATATGATATCTTAATGTATATGTGTATAAGAAAATAAAATTTTATTAAAGAGAAAATAGTACGAAAGGAAGTGAGGGCCAAACCAAATCCCCTCAAAGGAGAATAAAAGCATAACAAAGGATTTAAAACTTTTTTAAAAAAAGTATCAAGGGAAAAGACCAAGCAGCAAGAAAATAAAATCCTAATAAATAATACTACAATCATTGCAAATTCTCAAAGGAGATAACATTGCAACATTATTACCAAACAAACTCACATACCAAGTCAGTGTAGCATTGTACCCTAACCAATTTGCTGAAAACGAAAGCAAAAAAGAATGTCAATTTTCACTTGTTTCAAAACTCTCTAGGATGAATAGGTAAGTAAGATAAAAATAACTAAGATATTGCCATTACCCATAATGTGTAGCCACAAATTCGGTAATAAAAAATCTCAAGACAGCATTATTTAAGGTATTGCCATTAGCTCTAATGTGTAACCATAAATCCAACAAAAAAAACAGGAAAAGGAAACTTAAACTTAATGACAATGCAATATCATCTTCTCAGAGCAATAATGTAATTAAGAGTTAACTCAAAGCAATATAGTAATAGTCCATAAAGAAATAACTCAAAAAAATGTTGTAATAATCCAAATGCTAGAAAAATATTAAAAAGGGTCACCTACTTCTTTTCACTACTTGCTTTTAAAGTTATTGCTCTTTTTTTAAGTGGTTTTCTCTTTTTGCTGACCTTTTTTTTAGCTTGGAATGTAATATCTCTATTTGCTCCTCCTAAAGCATTGCCAACTCGCTATTTGCTAGAACTTTGGCCTTGCTCCAAGTCATCATTTGTAAGGGGGTGTATTCTTAATGTAGAGTTTAGAATCTTTAGATAGAACCAATAATTGATTTCCTCTCTAGTATTTCCAATGCTTCTATGGGAGAATCATTGAAATGCTTCAACATTAAAATGATTGAAGAAAATGGGGTTGTCATTTGGAGGGTCTTTTTTTTAATTTCCCAATGCATTTAGCCGATGAACCAGACTTTGTGTAAATACTAAAATGAGTTTGATTCTTCATCTCCATCAACATGAAATTGCTTAGTCTTCTGCATCCTCCTGATCAGAACAACCATTATATATACATATGGTTCATATTTATAACATGGAACGTATAGTCTAGGACCCTGTTTTAAAAGCCCTCCAGTAAATCAGAGTCTAAGTTAAACCAACGCTTTAGCCAAACCTTGTGTGTAGAGAATTAATATGCCCAAGCAAAAGACCCAACCCTTTCTTTAAAAGAGAATTCAAAATGTAAACTTTGAACTTTTATAATTAAGCCTAGTTTACTTCGTGTTCTTTTACATATGTGTAGGGAGTTCATATGCAATTTTAATAGCCATGAGTGGAAAAATTAATGGGCACACAAAAGTCAAACGAATAAAAACCTTGAGTTTGCTAATAATTGCCAAATATGCCCAATATTGACATGATTCCTATCGTTGAATGCACTATGAAAACAAAAGATGGAGAGTGAGTGCAAATGCACTATGCAATAAATAATGGAACTGTGGGAATGATAGGTTTCTAATGTACCTTATTTGCAAAAATGCTGAGAGTTTCATTGCTTCCATCGTAAAAGCTTCTCGTCATAATTGTAGATGACCCTATGGATATGGCTTTCAAAAAGTCACCAGAGATCGTTGTTCAAGCATCCCGCTATGACTGAATTCTTCATGAGCATTTGATGACACTTATATACAACTTTAGACTGAAAGCCAATGATATAAATTGCTATTAGAAATAAAGAAATTGAAAATTTGCATGAATAAAACAGAAGAGTTATGTCATTCATATTAAGCAAAACACCAATATATAAGAAAAACACAACCACATTAAGAGTAACAAAGGTACTGTGCCTCATACCAAGAGGCCATGGTATTTTAAAAATGCTAATAGTCAATAGGGAAATTGGATTAAAAAAGTATCTAATAATGTAGAAGTTTTTAGTTTTTAATCCATAGGGTAAAGCATAAGTATTATTGTACCATCAATTGACGGGTGGTTTTCAATTATGCTCATAACAATCTGGAGTCAGCATACCTGGAAAAGAATTCCCGAATGGTAAAACTGGAGGCAAGGTAATAAGAATCCATTCCAAACTGGCACCAGTACCATTGACCACAAAGTGCTCGCTACCAACAATCAGAAACTGAAATATAAAAATGTGATAAAATAAATATATTTAATTGAAATTTGAAAAAGAATTTCAAAAATATGACACTTTCAAATTTGGAAAAATTAACTCACCCCGTCAGTTCAGTTCAGGTTCACTGAAATACAAAGTGCTTCGGTACTATATTCTACCTTCATGCCGCGGATGATCATTAGAGCCAAGAATAATACCAGTAAGAGAAGTATAATATATGAACTTGTGCTAGATTTGTACTGGTGGTTGAGACCTCAGGATCTTATCTGCTAGGCCATCCTTTTTTTTTGAAAAGCCTATGAACAAACTCTACATTAATACAAATGACTTTATCACCACAAAAAATCAATTGGTGAATAATGAAACAATACAAAAACTAACAAAATCTAATCTTCACTGACCTATTGTTAACAAAGTACGGTTGATTATGCGTAGAGAAGACCTTTTTCTTGTCCAAGACTGCACATTTCACACCTTAAAGCAAAAAATGCAATTAACATGATAAATAAACTTAACTCCCAAACACCAAAACCGAATAAAATGTTTAAACAATGAAAGCGAAGAACATTATACTGTGAGGTTATAGAGAACATGAAAATGTAGATTTATTGAACTTAATGAGTTTTTAACAGGCTCGATTCTAGCCATGCTTAAGGGCATGTTGTTTGCATGTTTGCTATTTTCAACATTGAGAGGGCCTGAGAATTGAACTTTTCTACCTTGAGCATTGAGTAAACTCATTAGAAATGAAATATTAAAGACACGACTCCAACATAAATAGCACATTGAAATTTGAACACTTACCGCCACATTGAAGGAAGAAAACTCGTGATTGTACACTTGTACTTGTCGCAGCTAGTGGTCTTGCTAGGCCAGCCCCCTCAATGGCCTCTATGAGCCTCAACCTTTTTCATCGTTTGTGAGAGAGGCGGTGAGTGAAACGAAACTAGAATCCAAGAATAGCAGAACCATTGCTACTCTCAGTCGACCCTTAGGGCAAAATCAACCTCATGTGGTGGTCAGAAAGAGGGACATCTGATGACATTTAAGAGATGCATAGGTTTTAATGTATTTTTTTAGATATCCCATATGGTGTGTAGCTCCAGTAGTGAAAATCAGACAATAGAGATTTGATTCTCGCTGATGAAACCGCCTTGAAAATAAACCAAACTGATGCAGCTTTCTACCTTCTCAGTGGCCCAATCGTGCAACTTTCTACCTTCTCAGTTGAACAATCTGAAATAGTTGCAAGAAAATATTTCCCGCAACCCTTGAAGGAAAGCCACCATATGCTTCAATTATGAGGACATCATTTCACTTATGCAATTAGAGTCCTAAATCGAGGGTCTTAACTTGAATCATAAGATCATAGAGCAATGTTTAAAACTTATAACATGTACATTATTAAAAAAAATAGCCATCAATCATAATCACAACCTCCAAATAAATAGAAACTGTAACAATCGTAACTTTATAACATCCTAATAAATGAGATTTTGAAACCATATGTGGGAGGACATTGTGTTATGGCAAGGAATCTTCTTGAACTAATGATTTCCAATGAATTGAATCAAAACATTAGAGCACAACAAAATCAAATGTGCTAGAGAACTTATGGCGTACCATATCCCTGCGTTTCCTATAAAGGTTGATAAGAGAGTTTGAGTGGGCAATCCTGGAAAGAATAAGAGCTTTAAGATGGCATGGCTGCAGCCCTGCACCCTCTATCTCGCTGAGACAATTCATCGAACACATATTGAGTATCACTGTGCAGTCTAGATGCTAGAACGTACAGTAATACCAATTCCATTTTTAACTACAAAATCACACTAATTGGTAAGTAAAACTGTAAATGATTTTTGGAATTATTTTGAATCATATAAAAATTTAAGTACTAAATAAAATTATAACTATAAATTTGAATAAAGATGGAACAAAGAGAAAGAAGATGCAGGTTTAGGATTTACTTGTCGCCACGTTGAAGGAAAGAAACTTGGAATTCTATACTTGTACTCGCCGGAGGTAGTGGGCCAGCCCCTCAATCGCCACATTGAGCCTCAAGCTTTTTCTTCGTTTGTGAGAGAGGCGGTGTGTAAAATGAAACCAGAGTCTGACAATGGCAGAATCATTGGCGCTCTAAGTCATGAAATCAGCGACGCCGTGAGACCTATAGGGCAAAATCGAGCTCCTGTGGTGGTTAGAAAGAGGGAAATCTAAGATGACATTTAAGAGATGGGAGCATAGATACATGAAAGGAAGAGAAATGAATCCTTCATCTCCTCTGCTAGAGCGTTGGTTCAAAAACCACCAATGCTCTTAACCGTCGTGGCAGTGTAAGACTCCACATAAGTTCTCGATTCCATTTCTCACTTCCAAAACCTATAAACATGAGGCATCATAAATCAAAGTTAAAAGATATGGTAACCATTAATAGGAAAGACATCTAAATAAATTAACACTTATAAAAATGCTAATAGGTCATGTGGTATACTATACAAAATTAGACCTGTATACTGTGGGCTATAAGATTCCAAGAGGTCAATTCTTACTCTTATTTTCATTGCTCTTTAATATTATTATCATAATCTCCCCCTAAATAAAAATCACTTAAAATATTCACACATTAAATGATTAAAAGGTATAGTAGTAGTAGTAGCGGGACTATTAAAAAAAGTAGTAGGAGTAATCTTAATAGTTTTTATATTCAAGCATCTCACCACTTGCTACATCCACAGTTGAGAAAATAAGGCCTTCGTCCATTGACCTTCAATTACACAAAATAGAGCCTGCAAAATTTAGACAATTAGGTAAAAGTACGGGACAGTCTTGATTCTTGGCTGGATTGCATTTTGCAATTCGTCTAATTAGGGGTATTGATTTGCAATTCGAACAATAAGGGGTGCTGAAAGAACAAATATGATCTCACAATCTAACCAGCAATCCTAATAACCTTGGAAAGAATAAGCATTCAAAATATCAACCCTCTTTTTTAACTAAAAGCTAGACGCGGAACAATAGATACAGAAATGAAAGACGAAAGAACTATAAAGCAACACAAAGAAAGAGTGCACATATGAATCCCCCAATGATTGATTAAAAGGCTAAGGTGCAGTAGGGCTTTAGCTTAGTTGAGAATGATCAGATGATATTTTTTCCTCAAAATTCTTGAAGTAGGAAACTACTCAGTTTGGATTTATATTTTTGGAGAGTGAACAACAAAGGCATAAGAAGTGGTTGTTTTTGGTTCTGTCTGCCCTTCACAATTTAAATATAGTACTCTTAAGAAAAAGTCATAAAGAAGAAGATAATACCTAATGGGTTAGGCGGAGTTGCTCGATAGATGCAGCATGACTGGTGAACGGGCGCAAACGTGTCAAAATGCGTCTAAAATTGAATCTGGAATGTTTCTTCTTCATACTGGATCAATCGTGTACAATGGGTTTGGCTAATTCTGAGGGTCGACGGATGGGTTCCGGAAGCTGCTCACCGGAATTGATGCTTTACGAGCCGTTTTCTTGAACTTCTCTTGTTGCATAGGGAACAGGCGCCGGTGAAAAGATATGAAACGGCGTATTTGGTGGTGTCTGATTTTCAAAGCCGAAAGTGAAACGGCTCTCATAAACACTAAATCTACCTCAATGTCATGCCACCTCCATCTCACCTGCCACGTGTCACCCTCACAATCAAATATTTGGTGGTGTCTGTTTATATATATATATATATATATATATATATATATATATATATATATATATATATATATATATATATATATATATATATATATATATAATATCAACAATGTAGAGCATAAACAATTTTTCAATAAAGAGAATGAAAGAAAATATTTCACACTTTTATGGGATTTAATTCTCAATCTAAGAACTCCATAATATCTGATCTATTAGAACTTTGACAAATGAAAGTTTCTCTCAATGCATCTCGCGTACGAAAAGACACTAATGCTATATAAGATTATTGTATAAAGTGGAAATAAATTCAGCCACTTCAACTCATCTTCAAAGAAAGATGTTATGAGGCTCGGAATTCACCCTTTCTCAATCAAGTTATCAATCGACCAATCCCACCATGGCTGCAAATTTTGATCTGCCACACCATGACACTGGTTATGATTGAAACTCTTGAATTCTATTAATAATCATCAAGCCTGTAGATTTTATAGTGTCTAGAATAATATAATTAGTCTATGACTACTCATTTTATAAGGACTATTTTAGGAATGGGAGAAAAGTGAACTATGATATACAATATTGCCTATCTAGAAAAACAGGTGAGTTCCAAGGTATGAAATGCCCCAACCAAGAAAAATGAGGCCAAAAATCACCATTACTCTCACTGAAGTAAAAGGAAACCAATACTCCAGCTTACCTTTTTATTCTCATAAGTTGCATTCACCCACCCAATGTTTGCCACTTTAAGGAAACCAATACTGCAACTTACCTTTTTATTCTCATAATATGAGTTCGCAACATTGTTCCAAGGTATTAAAGGAGAGTTATTGGAGGGTTCCAATGCCAGTCATACTGCCATTTGAAATATAAAAATGTGCGAAAATAAATAAATAATAAAGAAATGAGAAATTGAATTTCAAAAATATGAAACTTGCACAATTGGAAAATGTAACTCATATCATCAAGACAGATTCAATTTAATGAAATAGGGGCTGCATAAATCATAAATTAGGCAAAAATAGGGTGCAGTCTAGATCCTTGCAGTTTGCAGTTTAGACAATTAGGCAAAAAATATAGCAAAAGCCAGTGATATGTTAAATAGAAAGATAATACCTCGGGGTTGAGATGGAGTTGTAGAGGGGTAGAGTCTGGGGGCTGATCGTTGGGTCTTTTCTTCGATCCGGGAGCTGGAGACGGAACCAGACGAAGGCATCTTCAATCGGAGACGGACGAAGGACAGGAAGCTGGACCGATTTCTAAGACGGAAGTAACCGGCGAGGGAGGATGAAGGCAGAAGAGAGGTCTGGACACCCCAGGTATGCACTCCGTATTTCACCGTCTAAATGGAAGCGAGACGGATTTGTGGTGGCAGAGAGTAATCCGAGTCATAAGAAATCATCTGTGTCAGCTGCTTCGTCATCGTCCACGTGTCAACACCACACCTAAAAAACCCTACTTTATATATATATATATATATATATATATATATATATATATATATATATATATATATATATATATAATATAGACACACACACACATAAACACGGTAAGTCTAAAATGACACCAGTGCAGCAAGTGTCATTTGCTCACCAGTTCGTTTAAGGTACCTACGATGCTCCGTTTGTAAAAAAGACAGTTCCTACCCCCTAACCCTCGCCCAAAACCCCCCATCCCAGCACCACCCTTCCCCCCCCCCCACCTTCTTTTTCGTATTCTTCTTCTTCCCGATCAGATCTATGTGCGGTGATTGGATTTTATCTCCTCGTAGATCTACGGTTGAGGGAGGCTTTTGCTTTACAATTAAAAGTATGGCGGGGCTGAGGCGATGGTTGTGGTGGTGGTGGGGGCTGGGGGTGTGTTCCGCCCCGACCCGAACACACCTCCCACCCTTTTCAATTGCACCGCCAAAGTTAATTTTGACTTTAGAGTCAAATTTTGACTCTAAAATCAAAATTAACTCGGGGCGCAATTGAAGGTGGGTGAGGGGTGTGTTTCGGTTGGGGCGGGGTAGGGTGTTCACCGGGCGATTAGTAAGGTAGGAACCGTCAATTTAATGAACGGGGCACTGGAGCACCCCCTGGTCTTCCCATGACATTGATTCCCAATGTCATGGTAATGGGCCTCTATTTTTATTGGTGTTAACTCATAAATTTATTAAGTTCTTATCTATCATATAAACTCATTTTTTAATTTCTCACCCATCCACTTTAATTGAAGCCAATTTATTTATATCATACGGAGTTAAATTTAATCATTGTTTCTTTAAGATAATAGTTAATTATTTTAACTGTGCAACGCACGGAAAGTGTTAAAGATTTTGATTTGTAATAAAGACCTTCATGTAACCAAACTACAAATGTAGTATAAGAAGTGTTCCAAAACTTATAACACTTCCAAAAATCTCCTTCTTTTTTTCTGTTTTCAATCTATATAATCTTTCAGGTTTTTGTGACATTTTTTCTTAATTCAAAACATTGAGTACGTGATTATATGTCAATTACTAGCCCGTGCATCGCACGGGTACGAGTCTAGTATGCGGTTACAACTAGGCTCTTAAATTGTAATCATGCTTCACATTAGAATTTTTTGGATCACTATTTAATCGTGGTTGTGTTAACTTTTCAGCCTTGCACGTGCTATGGTTTTTCTTCTGTTAATTGATGAGCAAGAAACAAAGTTCATCTTTGCTTGATAAACAAGACCGAAATTGCCAATTACATTATCTTGCGAGAATTGAAATTATTTGTATTGTTGACCTTTTGCATTAAATAAACTGAAGAGCCAATAAGTTATATTTGGGTGTGGATTTTGAGGGAGAACAATTTCATTACTAGGATCCTTATATTATTGGTTCCAGGCTATACTCTACAAAAAAATCAAATTACAGTGATATGTTGTGACGACAAACCAAGTTGGTATCTTTCAAGCTATTTCTTCTACATATTCCTTGTCTAACTTTTAAATATTTTCTTTCTTGCTTTATTATCAAATGTTCTAAGATATATAATTGGAGAATAGACCCGATCACGGGCTCGGGTATCCGGCCCGCCCGCAAAAGCCCACCTGCAATATAGTGGGCTTGAGTTTGACATTTTAGAGTACGGGCCGGGCTTGGGCCTTATAAATGGTGGCTCGAATATTTTAGGGCCGGGCTCGAGCTTATGCTCAAGCCCACGGGCCGGCCAGGCCCGAATAAATTAAATATTTATATTTATTATAATTATAATAAAATAACAATAACAACATTAATAATAATAATGAAGAACAAACCTATTTTAAATTATTATAAACACACATACATATTTCTATGGAGAGAAAAAATAAACTATAAATATTTATAATAAAATGAATGCATCTTTACTACTCCGTATTGTTTGCAACGTATCACACAATTATGGCATTCCAATAGATAATATTTTGTACTCCATACATAGTAGCAATATCAAACAAAATATATTTATATATCAATAATAGTTTACTCATAATAGTTTTTATATCAAATATCTAATGCATTAACTTGTTACTTTTTTAAAAAAAAAATTATTTTTAAATTATTTAGAAGTTTTTGTCTATCGGGCCGGCCCGAAGCCCGCGAGTAACCATGCTGGCCGGGCTTGGGCTTCAATAGTTAGGCCCGTTATACGGGCCGGGCCGAGCTCGGGCCTATAAAATTCTCGTAAAGTAGTGTCTCGGCCGGGCCCGAAACCCGGCCCAGCCTGCACTTTGATCAGGTCTATTGGAGAACTACTTTTTTCCCATGAGCTAAGTCTATGTTCCCCTTCCACACGTCTCTTTGGCCATGTTCATTACCATTTGTCACTTTGGACTTTAATTTAGGGAGATAGGTATCAAACAAATTTCATTTTCTAGTTTTTATGCTCTCAACTCTTCAAACTAAGCAACATTCAAGAAGCTGCCATTTGGCACTCCTTACAACTAGACCTGGCAAAACTGACCCGGACCCGATAACTCGAACCGAATAACCCAGAACTGAACCCGATTTGACCCGAAAACTGAAGAACCGAAATAGAACCGAACACCCGAAATGATCCGAACCGAACCCGAACCGAATGTATTCAGACCCGATTCAGACCCGAATCCGATTAAACCCGAAACGATTAAATCCGAACCGATTAAACCCGAACCCGGTTAAACCCAGAACCGATTAGACCCGAACCCGATTAGACCCGAAATTGATCAAATTCATTAATATTTCATTTATCAAATGAATTTGGAGAAAATGAATTACCTATAAAATTTTACATATGTTGATGTGTTTCTAAAAAAACATATTTAAATTATGGGTGCAAACCATGTAACTATTTTCATGTACAAATCTTTTACTTTGCATTTTATAACTTAATTTAAAATACTTTTGTATTTTTATAGAAAGTATATAAAAATTATAGTTAACTAAATTAACTAAATTTATTATGTGATTTATTCATTTATTAGTATGTATGTGTTTAAATTATACTTGAACTAATATAAATTTAAACCGATATAAACTCAAATCTATATAAACCCAAATCAATACAACCCGAATTGATACAAACCTGAACCGATATAACCCGAACTGATGCAAACCCGAACCAATTAAAACCCGAACCGATATAAATCCGAACCGATACAAACCCGAACCGATACAAACCCGAATCGAAACCGAACCGAAATCGAAAACCAATCAACCCGAAATAAACCTAGAATCGAACTGACCCGAACCGATCCGGACCGATTATAACATATATCCGAAAGAGACCCGAACTGAAAAGACCCGAATCAGAACCGAACCGATTGACCCGATTGCCAGGTCTACTTACAACAAGCCATGTGTCCAATTGTTTGAGTCTCTTTACCCAATGAAAAATAAACAGAAGAACTTCACAAAAAGAAACTCTTTGATAAGTCACAAAATGTCATATTTTATCCCCTCATTTCTTAGCACTTTTAAGATATTTTATATGCATTTTATACCTAAATAGTCATATTTTGTTCTATTTAGCACTTTAGGCTACTGTTTATATTTTATACATAAAATGCATGATTTTGAGTAATTTTATATTTTACTATTATTTTAAGAATTATATTTCTGTTGGCCATATTGTTAAGAAGTTCTTGGATTTAAAATGAGAAAAATGATGTTAAAGTTAATAGTTGAAGTCAAAACCAACTTAGATTTAAACCCATTTCATTCCTTTGTTTTTGGACCAGGTCATAAGTCATAAGACATGATGGAAACAAAAACAAAGAAAATTAATAAAAGATGGTGAGATATACGCAAAGAGCAGCGAAGTAGAATTCTTCTTCAAGACCAAGTCTTCAACGAGAGGGGATAAAACGAAAACTTCTCCTCCAATTCAATATCTTTTAATTTCAATTATAAAAAGAAATTGAGGCCACCCAAAATAGGTGGGAGACGGATAGGAAACAGAGAGCAGAGGGAGATCGTGAATAGAGAAGTGCCGGCCTAGGGTTCCGACCCTAGGTCGGCGATGACACTTCCGGCAGTCCGACGGCAACCATTCCGGCAGCAGCCATGGATTCCGAGCACGGCGATGACTGGCGGCTCAAGGTCGGCATCTGGTTCCGGCTTCTGTGCACCATCCGAAGAAGACACTTCCAGGGAACATTACTTTTACTATTCAATTTGATTTTCTATGAATTAGGATCTTGAATTTGTTTAATTTCAAAATTGATGAATTTGATTTCCAATATTAAATATGTTATTTTCAAATCTTATTTTTGTGTTAAATATTTAAGTTATATTATAAGTGATGAATGTTTGTGTGTTGATGTTGAATTGTCCAAATATGATTTTATGATTTATTATTGTCTCTGAAATTATAAAATCTTCTTAGGCCAAATTGTTTGATAAAAAAGATTGAATCTTTGTTTATTGGATTAATTTGACTTTGAAGAGATTTTAGATCCATGCTACTATTAAACCTAAACTCGAGAAGGTGTTCTGAGAACTATTATTCACCAGATTTTACTTAAATTGGACCAAATTAGGATCACGACTTAATCCAGTTTAAATTGATATTCTTTTGAAGTGCAAAGTGCTTTAAATAGCCGAACTTTTCTAGAAACTAAGTGTCACTTGATTAGTATTTGCTGCCTCGTTAAGTGGTTTTTGCTAATCAAGGTTCTCGAACAGATTTTGTTAAATAATCGTAGTGTTACTGCAAAGTTGTTATGGTGATGTTTTCCATAAATCTTAATGCGTTATTCTTAGTAGTAACTTAAGGGTTGGTCTTTGGGTTGCTAAGGGTAGTAGGGTTTAGAGTTAGGGTTGGTCTTAACATGAGCTAATATGAATGGGAAAATAGGGAAGAACCGTTGGTGGACCTCTTCTTCAGCCTAACCCTGAGTTTAATTAGCAGTTTAATTTCAGAATCAAGGCATAATTAATTACTTATTTATATTTGTTCAGTTTATTTTCTATTAAAAACTATACATATTTTCAAAAATGGTTTAAGTTAATTATTATTGTCTACGTTTTTATAAAGTTTATTGTGTGATTGTTTTTGTGTGTTTGTTTTCTCCCTGAGTGTTCTTCTGAGTTCGAGTTGCTGTTGTGGTTCCATCTCTTATCTGTATACTTTATCTTTATTTAATTTGCATTTTTATCATTTAATTTTATCTTTCAAACCCCCCCCCCCCATATCCTTTAGTTTTAGTTTTTAGATTTTAATTAGTTTTTATTCAATAAAAGTGACAAAGTAAACTGATTTTCATAACAATAAAAGTATCTTTCCTCGTGGGGTCGACCCTTACTTGCCCTATCTATATGTTTTAATTAATATTAATTCATAAAGGGGGATTTTAGTTAAGGAAAATAATAAATTAATTTGTAGGTGCTACGACACGCCTATCAAATTTTGGCGCCGTTGCCGGGGAAAGATCAACTTTTTTTGGAATTCAGTTTGCTATGTTTCAAACAAAACAAATTAACCTCAAAGATGTGTCTGTTGTTAGTGTCTCTGGTTTTAAGTTATAGTCTTTGAATTCACTTAACACTAACTTGGAGTTTAGGATTTAATTTTTTTTATCTGACCTTTCTGAATTTTTCTATTACTTTTCTAACTTAAGTCTGTATATTAAAAGTAATCTAGAACTAACAAAAAAAATCAGTAGGCCCAAGTAATAAAAATATTCAGAACTTTAAACAACTTATTCTTGCTCTTGTTTTGTCTCTTTTAAATTTTTCCTTGTTGAAGTTCAGGTTTTAAATAGCTAAATAGATGGGATATTAATGAACTTCTTATGCCAATTGCAGACGGAAACTTCTTTCCAGAGAGAAAAAGAACAAAGCTATGCATATTTACATGCAAGACTCACGTTCCAGAATTGGAACAAATTGTAGTGCAACATGCCGGAGAACCTGATTTCAAGTCTGATTGCATGGGCCAAAGTAAATTATCACGGAGATCATCACGAACAAACACAGTGAAACATTACTGAGGGGATGGTCGTCAAGTTCCCCCGCAAACAATGCTGCAGTTTTAGAGTCTCATGATCCGTAGAAAGAGTTGCATTACTTCATGTTGGGGTATCCCTCCTACATGGAGGAAGGAGTTCCTAAACAATACATTTAGTGTTCAAATGTAATTTGTTTAGAGGTGGAGTAATATAATAATAATAATAATAATAATAATAATAATATTTATTATTATTATTATTATAAAAGAAAAAAAAAAGAATGTGAATGGTCAAAGTGGGCTGCCACTTATTTGAAATGGCAGTAGCCTTTTTGAGGCTAAAAAAGGTCACGGGCAGAAGGTGAACAACCGTAGAAACAGAGAGGAAAATAGAGAGAACCGAGAGAGAAAAGAAGAGAGAAAAAGTGGGGCAGCAGTCCGGGTTTTTGCTCCGATCGACGACCAAACGAGCTCCGATCGGGATGAAATTTTAGTATGTTGTTCCTGACATCCTCTTCTTCATACCCAATGGTGAGATTGTTGTTTTGACCTCTCGATGTCGGTAAAATTGCCTCTGGTTCTCTGCTGCGTTTTTATGTGGTTTTCTCACTTTTGAGTGAAGATTATTGTTGTTTGGTGTTCCAAGTTGTTGCTTGATGATTGTGTATACCTCTAATTGGTTTAGAGATGATTCTTGGTGTACCCACTGATTTTTCTTGGTGATTAGTGGAAGGCTTCGTGGTTTTTTCCCCGATTTGGGGTTTCCACGTTAAATCTTGGTGTTTGTTTATCGTTTGATTGATTGTTTGTTGTCGTGTTTGCTATTCTTGATCGGTCATATGATTTTGCCCATTTTGACAACACAAAGACGGAAAAATTATTAATTGCTTCCGCTAGAAAATTGAGGTGATTTTCCCAACACTTCAGAGCTAGGTTTGGGTTATGAATGTTATGGCATAAGGATCAATTCTGTTGCATACTCTCATTTTTAGGTGGAACTCAATTTATAATATCAATGTAACAAGGTGATTCTCCCTTTAAATGATTGACTTCTGGGCTTGGTTTTGGTAAAAAAAAATTCTTCGCATCCTATTTTTGGTTTTCTTGGGTACCTAGTGAGCAAGTAATTGTAATGTTTTGATTATAGTTCCTAAATACATCATTACTTGTTCTTACTGGACATGTGGCATAATCCACATTTATGTTTAAGTCTTGCTTAATTGAGACAGTGATTTTGCATTGATTTAACGTGTTGGCTCTTAGAAGAATTGAGCATCATTCCTATGACCTGTGATTAAGTCTACTTTGTTCTAAAGATAAGAAAATAAAGTTTCTATTTTTATTTATAAATTTCTTCTCCAATAAGATTTTAAGTGTAGGGGTTAAACTAGGTACTGGCCATACATCTTTTCAACACTATTTTTCTAGAAGAAGCTATTATTTTCATTTCAACATCTTTTTGCTAAGTAACAATGTTTTCATGCTCCTAGACGAATTGAGCAGAATAACTTGCACATTTTATATGTTAAAGCTAGTTACAGAGTCTGCATTTTGCTTAGAGTTGAAAACCACATTTCCTACCTTGATAAGCACTAAACCATAGTCTTCAAATTTGAAAAAAAATTGCTTAATAATTAAAAAGGCTGAAACCTTATTGAAAAATCTGTTTTAAAATCAACTTGTGAGTTTAGACAGAGAATGTTGGATAGCAAAGTAAAACAAACTGCGGTTAGTTGAAGTGTTGAAAATTTCCCATTGGTTAGCATTCCTCTACACTTTGTTTTTTTTCTTATGCTCTGTGCTAGATAATTCAGTATGCTTTAAATAAGAAGTGGAATGTGATTTGGAAATTAGAGCTTAAAATAGATTTCCTTGGTTTTGTTTTTCCGTCTTCATTCGCTCTCAAGAATTTGAAATCCTAGCATTCTGCCTAAATCCTGAATTTGTGTTTCAAAGCTACATTTTTATATGACAAAAAACCTCTCAAGTTTTTCAAAATGGCAGTCCAATCATTGAACTCAAATATGGAAAAAACTGTTTCCGTTTCATGTTAGGCATCTTATTGAACAGTTTCCCTTTCAAAAAAGTTTTAGCAATTTGAAACAGTTTTATCAAACTTGGTCTCAAATTGTATATGACAGCATAAAATCACTGAACGGAAAAAAATAGTTTTAGCAAGAGTAACAAGAAAATTTGTTTTCCAAATACTATTTTATGTGTTGGGTATAATTTTGTTATTTGTGCTTTACAAATACCCTGTTTAGTTCTTCACTTATCACCCCCACATCATAACATCCAATTTTTCAGATGCTTGATCACTTTTTGAGAAATTTTGTTGTAAGAGCTTTATGTGTTTATTTGGAAAATACACTTATGAATATTACTAAAACTAGTTTTATTGCTTACTTTGACCTTGTGATTAGCTATTTGGTTTGTTTTGGAGTTTTGTTTTGAGTAATCACAGGTTATTTAGAGTACAATATGGATTCTCCATGTTGTCCTGAGCAGAACAACGAGACATTAAAAGATGGCAGCTTTCTGGGAGGCAACCCAGATATTTAAACTTTTACTTTTATGCATTTTATTTACTTTTTTTTCTTTTTGTTTTACTCTCGTCTTTACTTGCACTTTGTCTGCCCTGCATGTTTAATTGTCATATCTTGTGATCCCCTCCCTCTCATTTTGCATCTCTTTTTATTATTTACATGTTCTTTGTTCATTGTTTCATCTTGTATGTGCAAAAGTTCATCATTTTTACATCATTTACATGCATTGAGGACACTCCATGATTTAAGTGTGGAGGACGCTTTCTGCATTTAGTTATGCATATTTTCGGGGAAAAAAATGATTTTGCATGTTTTCATACACATACTAGAAGCATGAATTGGGTAGGAAAAAAGGTATTTCTGGTCAAATTTAGCATTTTAGATGCAATTTGGTTACAAAAAAATTTCAATTTTTAAAAGTTTTTGAAGAAAACAATAATTCTTTGCATGAAAATCTATATAAGAAAAAAGAGAATTTTAAGAAAAATTAGAAATCATAATAGTTTCTTTTAATCTTTTAACACTCTTAAGTGTTTGCATTTTTTGCATTAAATTGAAATTAATTTTGTAACGAGTATGATTGAATTTGTTTTAAAATGAGTTTTCTACTATAAACTTTAAATCATTTCTTTTAAGTCAAATCTATTTGGAACTTGTTTTTGTTTAATTTCAAACCTTTTAATTAGTTAAGTTCAATGTGCACAATTTGTTTAGAAATACATGGAGCAGTTTTCTAACTTTTTTTTATCCTAAGTTGCTATTCAAGTAAAGTTAGTCTTAAGAAAATCTTTTTCTTTTTCTAAATTTTGGTTGTTTACATATTATCAAGATGCTGAAATGATTAAATATATATACTGGAACACCATCTTAGGTTGGCATGGGTGGCACGACACCTTTGTCCCCTTAAGCAACAGATCCCAAAAAAAAGTGATGTTGTGTATGGAGAAAACTTGAGTTGGAAGAGCAAACCCCGTTTGGGCCGTACGAATCTCGTCCATAACCAGTTAAAAAAAAGAGAAAAAAAACCGACGCCATTGAGCCAAAAGAAAAAAAGTGCAATAAATGGCTAGGTAGGAAAAAAGAATAAAAATGAATGAAAAATATTGTTTGAGCACTCGAGTTGAAACCCTCGGAATACTTCGTTTATTTAGGTCCTGGACTATCTGGGAATGGGTCTGGGGTAGCCTGGTTGAGATTCGCTACACGGGTCAACTCAAACAATTAAAATTAAATATTAAATTAAAGCAACAGTTAAAAATTTCCAAATTTTGGAAAAGAAAATAAATTTTCTTGAGTTTTTCTTTACTTAATTGTTTCTTCGGATTTCTAACCACTTTTTGCTGCTCTGTAGATTTCTTTTAAATTGTTCTCAATGACCTTAGTTAATTCAAAGTTTTGACATTAAATAAAAATGTTTTCTATTTAGCTTTGAAGTGAAAGAACTGTTTTAAAATTTATATTAGTAAATTGATTTTTAAAGGGTGTATTCTATTTGGTACATGATTAATTTTTAGTTAAAGTTTCATGCATCACTTTAGATTGTTATGAGATTGAGAAATTGTTTTGAATTCTAATTTCAACAAATTGAAAAAGGTTGTCAATTTCTAGTTTGCACGAGGGCGTGCAAAAGTCCAAGTGTGGGGGTATTTGATAAGTCACAAAATGTCATATTTTATCCCCTCATTTTTTAGCACTTTTAAGATATTTTATATACATTTTATACCTAAATTGATGAATTTGATTTCCAATATTAAATATGTTATTTTCAAATCTTATTTTTGTGTTAAATATTTAAGTTATATTATAAGTGATGAATGTTTGTGTGTTGATGTTGAATTGTCCAAATTGATTTTATGATTTATTATTGTCTCTGAAATTATAAAATCTTCTTAGATCAAATTGTTTGATAAAAAAGATTGAATCTTTGTTTATTGGATTAATTTGATTTTGAAGAGATTTTAGATCTATGCTACTATTAAACCTAAACTCGAGAAGGTGTTCTGAGAACTATTATTCACCAGATTTTACTTAAATTGGACCAAATTAGGATCGCGACCTAATCCAGTTTAAATTGATATTCTTTTGAAGTCCAAAGTGCTTTAAATAGCCGAACTTTTCTAGAAACTAAGTGTCACTTGATTAGTATTTGCTGCCTCGTTAAGTGGTTTTTTCTAATCAAGGTTCTCGAACAGATTTTGTTAAATAATCGTAGTGTTACTGCAAAGTTGTTATGGTGATGTTTTCCATAAATCTTAATGCGTTATTCTTAGTAGTAACTTAAGGGTTGGTCTTTGGGTTGCTAAGGGTAGTAGGGTTTAGAGTTAGGGTTGGTTTTAACATGAGCTAATATGAATGGGAAAATAGGGAAGAACCGTTGGTGGACCTCTTCTTCAGCCTAACCCTGAGTTTAATTAGCAGTTTAATTTCAGAATCAAGGCATAATTAATTAGTTATTCATATTTGTTCAGTTTATTTTCTATTAAAAACTATACATATTTTCAAAAATGGTTTAAGTTAATTATTATTGTCTACGTTTTTATAAAGTCTATTGTGTGATTGTTTTTGTGTGTTTGTTTTCTCCCTGAGTGTTCTTCTGAGTTCGAGTTGCTGTTGTGGTTCCATCTCTTATCTGTAGACTTTATCTTTATTTAATTTGCATTTTTATCATTTAATTTTATCTTTCAAACCCCCCCCGATATCCTTTAGTTTTAGTTTTTAGATTTTAATTAGTTTTTATTCAATAAAAGTGACAAAGTAAACTGATTTTCATAACAATAAAAGTATCTTTCCTCGTGGGATCGACCCTTACTAGCCCTATCTATATGTTTTAATTAATATTAATTCATAAAGGGGAATTTTAGTTAAGAAAAATAATAAATTAATTTATAGGTGCTCCGACACGCCTATTACTCTTCACCTATGGAAACGTAAAATCTCATTAGTTGAGTCTCTTTTTTGCATACGGAAATTCTCCAAAATGCCGATCCAATTGAGTCTCTACCGAAATTGAGATTCGAAAATGCCAAAAGGAAACCCTCTTATGATTGAGATCTGAAATGCCAAAAATTAAGATCCAAAATTGAGATGCCATGAGATATGTCGAAGGATCTCTTCTTCACTGAAGAAAACTCTCTGTACCAAAATTCAGATAAAGTAAATTGGGTTTTTCTTAATTTCATATTCATATTCAATTGTTATTCTTCTCCCATTTTATTAAAAATATTCTCTATATATGCATTCTTCTTCAATTATACTTGAATTAGTTTTATATTTCTTAAGTTTTTAATTCTATATTTCCTTGCATATCTTCTTTTGGTAAGTTCCTTTGTAATGGTTCTGATTCACAATTTGAGCATTCCAGATTACATAGCTTAATAAGCTCAAAATTATGCCTAATTGCATACCTTAGTGGTCTTCATGGACAAACATCTATCTATCTATCTATATACAAAGACAGCAGGAATTTTTCCCGCCTAATGCAATGGGCCGATTCAGAACATTGGGCCAGTATTCGGTTTTGGCCGAGTACATTTTGTCCAAATTAGTACACCTATTTTCTGAATGTGACCGATTAATGTGTAAATTTATTCAACAAATATCATTGTAGACCTTATCAATTTTAAACAATTAATTTCATTACTATATTTACGATTGATTTCAATTTTATTAACAATTATTCTCTATTTAAAATCTTAAATAAGCACATTTTTTTGGAATATGAGATTTAGGCACATGAGATTTCACACGAATCCCCATAAATAATTGCTTAAAAATAAACATAAATTTTCCAGTTCCACACGTTACAGGAAAGCATTACAATAATAACAATATTAGAAAACATGGATTAAACTGCATCCACAACTTCTTGCAGTTACAAAAAATAACAGTAATAATAATAAAAAAATCCTTTATATGAACAACAATATAATGATAATAATAATAATAATAATAATAATAATAAAATCTACTAATAATAATTAATATTATTAGGGGTTTCGAGAATTGTAGATGTAATGTTGGGTTGGTATTAATTAACCAATAAAATGTTGGTAGATAATATCACGACACATTATTCACACTTTAATAACTCAATTTTAGAAGTAATCCAATCAGTAACCGTGCTCGGTTGGTTGGCCACGTTTTAACCTGCGAAGAGGAAGAAATCAATTTCATAATATTACCATTTCATGTAATATAATTATAATTAAATAAATTAAAGCATCACTCCACTCCTCCCACAAAGAATAGAAGCGAGTCGCTTTAGTCTTTTCATGCATTCGCCAGAATGCCTCTTTGGTTCTGATGGATATCGGGTCTGGTAGACCCGACTTCAGGCCCAAATGAAGGCCCATAATAGCCCAAAAGGAATAAGATCAGATGAGGATGACGGGCCAAGCCCGTTATCTCGCATATGGCAAGTAAAGGAAGACGGCCCAGACATGGGATAGATCAAGGTGACCCAGTCCAAGGGAGGAATGGGACACGTGGCCCACATCATCAAGTTGTGGGCGGAATGGGAAGGGAACGAGACCGGAAAGAAGGGGAATCACAACCCTACGATCTCCATAATCCATTTCCATTTTGTATAATTTTAATTAGAATATTAGAAGTACTATAAAAGGGGAAGACCCCGCCGTTGTAAAGCAAGTCACAACAAGACAGTTCAATACACAATCAGAGAATATTATCGAGTGATTATATCTTCCTAATACATATTCCGTTCTTGGTCCGCCATCTGATCGGGTTAATCCCATCATTGGTGCTTTCATTGAGAGATACTGTGAGATAAGGCTGTGAGATTATGGCCGGACGAAGGACGAGACGTAACCCTGCTACTTCTGCCCAGTCGACGGTGAGGAGTGACAACCCTGAACAGGGTATGATTGTTCCTGTCAATGGGTTGGAAATGGCGCTAAATAATGTGGCTAACATGATGGCCAACATTATGGAGCGATTGGATAAGGCTCTTCCAGGTCCATCCGGAACCCGGGATATCCCTGCCGGGCAACCCCGCCAGGTCCTACGTACTGCGAGTTCTCCTATCCTACAGGAGCTCCATGATTCGGAGGAGGTTGAAAGGGAAAGGCGAGCCATTGACAGACGCCGGGCGGAGGAATTGGCCCGGAATAACAAGGTGAACGAAGGCCAGGCTAAGGATCCAAGCCGGATCTTCGGTGATGGACACGAAAACTCGCGTGGATCTGTCTTTGAAAGGATATCTCGCCAGAAAGCTCACGTTAGTGAGAGGCTGGGGAAGAATCCGGAAAAGGCACCCCAGGGTTGGATACGACCCCAAGCCATCCAGGTGGCATCTTCCAATCGTGAACCCCGGCAGCGAAACGACCGAGGCACGAGCCAAGTGCCGGTCCGGTCATTACGGAATCTGGAGGAGGACGAGGTTCAAAGCCAAGCCAGGGTCCCAGCACCACGGCGTCTGGGACCGTCGGTGCTGGAAGCTGGTGAATTTCAAGACCTGAGACAGCAGATCCAGGAGATGCAGAGGAAGATAAACAAAGGTCGAGTATTCACCACCCGTACGAATACTCCTTTAGCCCCGGAGATCTTTGCGGAACCATATCCGCAGGGGTTCAAGATGCCATTTGTTAAGCGTTATGATGGGGAGTCAGACCCCCAAGAGCACATAAATAGCTATGTCCAAGTGATGATCGCTGTAGATGCCAGTGATGCACTCATGTGTCGGTGTTTCTTGGAGACTGTAGATAGCAAGGTCGCGGATTGGGTCAACCATATCCCTGCCGGATCGATCCGGACATGGGATGAATTGGGACTGCGGTTCCTAGAGCATTTCGCTAGGAACTGCCGTACCAAAAAGCATTTCACTCACTTGGCATCAGTGCGACAGAAGCATGGTGAATCCTTGAAGAATTTCCTTATCCGATGGAGGAAAGAGTCCAGGGAGGTTGAAGGAACTGATGATAAATCCAGGTTGGCTATGTTCACGGCGGCATTACAGGATGGACTCCTTCACACCGATCTCACTACTCATCCCCCGGATACCTTCGAAGAAGCGATGGTCCGGGCAGGGAGGTACGTGACCCTAGAAGAAAGAAAGGAGGAGAAGAAGGAGAAGACTCCTAAAGAAGAAGAGAAGACGGGGAATAAGAAGCCGTTCAAGAATAAGAAGCAAGGCTTCCCGGACGGCCCAAAGGGTGCAAGTCCGGGGACCTCGGAGAAGCATAAATCTGCCAACCCGGTCTTCACATTGCCAGTGGCTGAGGTCATGGCCCATGCTGCACAGCAGGGACTTATGACTTACCCAACCTATTCTCAGAAGGTCTGCAATGTGGAAGACACTGGAAAATGGTGTGCCTACCATCGCAAGAATGATCACAACACGGAAGATTGCTACACTCTGAAGAATGAGATGGCAAGGCTGATCCGCCGGGGTCATCTGAAGAAATTTGTACAAGATGGTGACACCGGGAATCCCGAAAATGCTCAGAATGGGAAACGTAGAGATAAAGAAGTGGCCCAAGCTGAGGCCCGGGAGAAACGCCACATCGGGCTTGAAGACAAAGAGGAGGATTCGGAACCCGCACCGCATCGCCAGAAGAGACACCACGGGTGTAATTTCATCATTGGAGGGAATACTGGTGGGGACTCGGCCACAAGCCGGAAGAAGTGGGCTAACGCGGCAGTGGTCAACAAGGTGCTGGTCCCGGAAGGTAAGAAGTTGAAAACCGAGCCTATTGTATTTTCTAATGCTGATCTTCCAGAGACATGGGTCACTCATAGGGACGCCCTGGTAATTACTATTGATATAATGGACTTACTGATCCACAAAACCCTTGTGGATACGGGAAGCTCCGTTAATATCATGTATATGGATACATACAAGGCTCTCGGTTTGACAAGAGATGAATTATCACCCATCAAGACTCCACTGACCGGGTTCACTTGTGATTCTATTGAACCGGAGGGGGTGATAACCCTCTCGGTTGAGATAGGGGATACTAAGGCTACCCGGAAGTTGGACATGGAGTTTGTCGTGGTGGGGATAATTTCCAGCACGAACATTATCTTGGGCAGACCCGGATTGGAAGATTTGGAGTGTGTTATCTCACCTCGTCACCTGTGCATAAAATTCCCAACCCCCCATGGAGTTGGAATTGCCAGGGGATCGCCGAGAGTGTCCCGGGCATGGTATTTGAAGGCAACCAAACAGCCGGTCAAGTACGATACCCAAGTAGGAGAAGTGACTGCGCAGCTCCTGAGGGCAGAGGAAAAACGTCCTAGAGTAGAAGTTGCCGGCGACATTGAAGAGGTGGAACTAGAGCCAGGCACGCCGGGAAGGTTTGTCAGGATTGGTAAGGGGCTGGGGGCTGAACTCAGGTCACGAGTGATTTCAGTCCTTAAGAGGTTCAGAAGGGTCTTCGCATGGAGTCCAGCTGATATGCCAGGGCTGGATCACAAGATAGCAGTTCATCGCCTAAATGTGCTGCCGGATGCTAAACCAGTGAAGCTGAAACGAAGGCATTTATCACAGGAAAGAAGAGATTTTGTAAAGAAGGAAGTAGCAACCTTGCAGAGCATTGGGCACATCCGGGAGGTACAGTACCCGGACTGGTTGGCAAACGTAGTACTGGCGCCTAAGCCCCCTTCGTGGAGGATGTGCGTCGACTACACAGATTTGAACAAGGCATGTCCCATGGATCCGTTTCCTCTTCCCAACATCGATCAGATGGTGGATGAGACTGCTGGGTCAGAACTAATGAGTTTCATGGACGCTTTCAGTGGCTATCATCAGATTCGGATGCATCCGGCCGATGTTGAAAAGACAAGTTTTATGACCCCTAAAGGGCTGTACTGTTACCTAGTGATGGCTTTTGGGCTGAGAAATTCCGGGGCAACATATACCCGGATGGTTTCTCAAGTGTTCAAGACTGTTTTAGGGCGGACCATGGAGGCATATGTCGATGATATGATTGTCAAGTCCAAAGAGGCCCGAGACCATGTCCAGAACCTTGAGGAGGTCTTTGAAATCATGATGAAGGTGAATCTGAGATTGAACCCGAAGAAATGTACTTTTGCTGTTCAAGGTGGGAAATTCCTTGGGCACATGGTAAGCCGGAAAGGAATTGAGGCAAATCCGGAGAAAGTTAGAGCCATCATGGAGATGGAACCCCCAAAAACAGCAAAGGAAGTTCAGCGGCTAACAGGAAGATTGACAGCCTTGAATCGTTTCCTTTCGAAGCTGGCAGAGAAGGCGCACCCATTCTTTGCGGTGATCAAGAAGAAGGCGACCTTCGAATGGACACAGGAATGTCAAGAAGCATTTGAAGAATTGAAGAGATATCTCACAAGTCCGCCGGTTTTATCCAAGCCGGAACCTGGGGATATTCTGACTCTATATTTGGCGATTGCAGACTGTGCTATAAGTACTGTGATCGTGAGAGAAGAGCGTGGGGCCCAACATCCGGTCTATTACATCAGCAAGACCCTGAGAGATGCGGAGTTAAGGTATTCTCGTCCGGAGAAAGCTATGTTGGCGGTCTTCTGGACAGCGAAGAGATTAACCCCGTACTTTCAGGCTCACCGGATTATTGTGCTCACCAATGAGCCTTTGGCATCACTTACCCGAAGCCCCGCGGCTTCTGCCCGGATGACCAAGTGGGCGGTCTTTATTAGTCAATACAACGTGGAATTCAGGCCGCGCCCATCCATCAAGGGGCAAGCACTCACCGACTTTCAAGTCGAGTGCACCGCTAGAGAAGTGACAAGAGCCCAGGCTGAAACCCGGGTGGAAAAGGACTGGTGGATAATGAGCATCGATGGATCTTCTGGGTCTCGATCTTGCGGAGCAGGTATCGTCTTGATCACCCCAGAAAAATTCCGGATTTATTACGCTATCAGATTTCAGTTCCGTGTGTCCAACAATGAAGCCGAATATGAGGCCCTGATCAATGGATTGAAGATTCTTAGTAAGATGGGAGTATCCAGGGTTCAGGTCTACAGCGACTCCCGACTAGTGGTGGGACAAATCACAGGGGAATTTGAAGCAAAGGAAGAAAGGATGAGAAGGTATCGGAACTTGTCTTTAGAGATGTTGGGGAGGTTTGAGTTTAAGCTGGAACATATACCCCGGGCCCAGAACGCAGAGGCCGATGTTCTATCCAAGCTCAGTGCGGAATCGCCGGAATACATGAGCAAATTGGCAACCATCGAAGAGCTGGTAACCCCGAGTCTTAGCAATAGTGAAGTGATCTGGGTATAAGCTGATCCCCTGGAATGGCTGGACCGGTTGGCCAGATACATTGAGAACGGTAAGGCCCCAGAGGATCCCCAAGAAGCACGTCTATTGCGAGTGAGGGCACCTACCTACAAGGTACTAGATGGAATCCTCTATAAGCGATCCTACAACGGTGTCCTACTCCGTTGCCTCCAGGCAGCGGAGGCAAAGGCACTAATGGAGGAGATACATGAAGGAGTATGTGCTGCACATCAGGGTCCTTACTCCATTTCTAGAAGGGCTATCATCCAGGGATACTTCTGGCCAACAATGAGGAAGGATTGTGAAGAGTATGTACGCAAGTGCCCGACCTGCCAACAATTTCAGAGTATACCCGGGAGGCCAGCCACGAATTACACGCCCATCAGCTCCGTGATTCCCTTTTCGAGATGGGGGATCGATCTTGTGGGAGCCCTGCCAAAAGGGGCAGGGCAAGCAAGGTGGATTGTGGTTGCGATAGACTATTTCACAAAGTGGGTGGAAGCTGAGCCACTTGCAGGGATCACCGGGAGGCAGATGATTGACTTCGTCGGAACCAATATACTCTGCAGGTTTGGGGTCCCAAAACAGATCATATCAGACAATGGAACCCAGTTTGAGGAAGCAGAGTTTCAAGACTTTCTCAAAACTTGGGGAATTCAGCACACAAAGGTGTCTGTTGCGTACCCCCAAGCTAATGGATAAGTGGAGAATGTCAACAGAATAATCATAGACGGAATAAAGAAGAAGCTACTTTCAGAAGGAAGCAAATGGGTAGATGAACTGCCCAGGATCCTGTGGACATACAGGACGACTCCAAGGAGAGCCACGGGTGACACTCCTTTTGGATTGGCTTATGGTTTTGAAGCCCGGGCTCCCGCTGAGGTAGTAATCCCCACCAGAAGAGAAATGGAATACGACCCGGTGGTGAACGAACAGAATCAGGCCGTAGAGCTGAATTTCGTTGAAGAACGAAGGGATGAAGCACGGATCCGGGCAGAAAATTATCGTTGCCAGGTGAAATCTTACTTTGATAGCAAGGTGAAACCAAGGGCATTCCAGGTGGGGGATTATGTTCTAAGGAAACGAGGAAAAAGTCAACCAACTAAGGGAGGGAAGCTGGCGAAGAAGTATGAAGGACCTTATATCATCAAGGCCGTTGTTCGCCCAGGTACCTACAAGTTGGTGACTCCCAAGGGGAAAGAAATTGATAGGACATGGAATGTAGAGCACTTGGTCAAATTTTATCAGTGAATTATTTTGTAAAAACGCTCTATTTTTTGAATCTAAGATGCTTGTTTCAATAACACTTTTCTTTTCTTTTAATGCCAATTGCCTTTGCAATTTCATTGTTCTATAGATTTCTTCAAAAAAAAAGGGGGGAAGCACCCCCGGGCAATATAGACCCGCGTTACTACAGGGAGGTAGAAAAGTTTATGCCACCTGCTAAAAATAGGGGAGGTAGATAAGTTTATGCCCCCCCCGGAGGTAGAAAAGTTTATGCCTCCGTCAAAAATGAAGGAAGGGTTGGGATTGGACTTCGAGGGCCACTACAACCCGGAATTCAGGAAGAATAGCAAGCAGACTTCGAGGGCTGAAGCTTAGTATTCCACTAGCATAGATCAACCGAGCAAACAAACTTCGAGGGTTGGAGCTCAACTGATCCAAGGTAGATAAGATTATGCCTTAACCCGGAGGAAAGGGAGGTCAGGGACAGATTGGATAAGTGCCCCAGGCATGCCCAAACCCCGGGAAGATGAGATTGAATATAGAAAATGAATTATGTACTTGCATTTGAATAGATGCAAAGATATGATCATTAAGGACCATATTGACGGGCCAAAAGTTACATTTTTTGGTTCACAATAAAGGTTCCTAGTGAAATAAACAAGAAAAGAAATTAAGGGAGTTCATTGGTTGCTAATTCGGAGGGTATATCTTTGAATTACAACGATGATTCCTACTTCAAAATTAAGGAACATTCCTTAGTGTGGGATGAGGGGAAAACCTCTGGACCAAGCAAGTGAATGCCCCTTGATACAAAACAAGGAAAAGAAATTTGATTTGCAGGAGGCTAGGAACTGAAGAAGGGCCTATTGCATCCATGCAGTCAACAAGAAGGAGGTGGGGGACCCTTCCATGGGCTCCTTCTCTTTGACGAGGGATACGTTGATGAATCAGCGGTTTCCCATATGTCATAGTCTTCCCATGTCCCAGGACGAGGGGCTGCTCCCTTCAATGAAGAACCATTGTTGGAAGATTTCAGCAGGTCTGGAGAAGCAGTCCGGCTTTCACATGAAGGTTCCGCTTCAACAGTTAGCAAAGAACGTCCAAGTTTAGTCCTGCACATCCTTTGGTACAAGGCGAAGTCTCGGAGGGTCATAGAGTCCTAGTCTATCTCCCCGGATGGAAGCCTGGGTGGACTGGGAGGAGATGGTGCAGAAAGGCGAGGCGCCGGATAGAGTCTTGAGAATTCGCCGGGACTCAACCCAGCGATGTCGTTGGATTAGGCTGGAGAGATGGAGAAATCATCATCTGAAGGAGAAGAAGTCCCAGGGAGGGTTAAGTCGATGACGACTTTGCCCTCAGGCTTACTTGCCATGGCGAAGAAGCCAGGAAGTGATGGACTGGCAGCTAATTGCCCTTTCTCATTTTATAGTCAAAGGGAAAGGGATAGTTGGGAATTGATGAATGCAGTTAAAAGACGTGAGAGACTAATCGATTGGTGAAGGAAGCGGTCGAAGCTTTCCCAATGTTTGACTAGGAGTTTCTCGCCACTTAAGTGCATGGGCTAGCTGATTGGGCCCATTTGCGCCTCGGAGAAGATGTCATCCTTGGAAGGTAAGGAGTTAAATAGACTTAGACTTCTACTCCATGCAGATGACGGCACGTGCAACAAAATGATATTAAATGACAGGAGATAAAGGTTCTTTCCATTAAATAGCTCAAACAGAAGATTACATTCTTTTGGGTTACAGTAATGGGCCTTATCCCTGATCTAACTACGAAATAAAAAAGAGACAGGAGATAAAGATTTTCATTGAATAACTCAAACAGAAAAATTACATTCTTTTGGGTTACAGTAATGAACTTTGTCCCTGATCTACTTCTATCTTACTGCGGAAGAAAAACTGAAGGCAAGGCGGATCAACACTTTAGGAATATAAAGGGGTGAATTCGCTGGCCCTTGCTTCCCTGCCTGAACCAGAAGAGAACCTCAAGGCAGGAAGGCATGGAGAGTGTCCGCCGAAGACACTTCATGAAATTCACAAGAAGCAGGACGAAACCCACGGGTTGGATCTAAAGCCATCCCCGTGGATACCATCCTGTCATTCCCGTGAGGGCGCCCACCGGTCCCCCTTGATGACATTCAAAAGATACGGAAGGGAACCAACGGGTTGGGATTGAAAGGCATTCCCTCCGTTGGCACCTTCCGGTCACCTCTCTGAAGTTAGACCAGGAGGACGATAGGGCATGAGGGAGGGATCCAAGGCCTATCTCCGCTTATGCCGCAGGAGGAGGCGGATCCCGGAAGGATCCGTCCTTTTCCCTGCGTATAAATGGAAGCCTATTTCCTCCCATGTCGTAGTCCCCCCATTCCTCAGGTGGCTGTCCATACGACTGCTGAGGGGACGGGGAACCCTGAGAAGAAGGCCTCGCACCGGAGACCACTCGGGAAGCTCCTGAGTGGGGATTGCGTCTCTTCGGCAGACGAGAAGTGCCAGGACAGCCAGGAGAGACTTCCGCCCTGACACTGTTAGGAAGCACGCCGGGACCCGGAAGGATACTCCCCGAGACTTGTTGGGGGAGATGAGGGTTATTCTCCTCCTTGGGCAAGGGAGAGGTTACCGATTGTTCAGAGGTGAGAGAAGGCCCAGAAGAGAGCTCAGGTGTTGGGGACCCAAGTGAGGGGAATGCCAACGAAGAAGAATCAGAAGAAGAATCAGAAATAGTGAGATCAATAAAGACAACTCTATTGGCGTTGTTAGCCATGTTGAGAAATGGATTGTGATATTGGAGGGGGTTAGCCTAGCCCCTTAAATAGGTGAGTAATCCCAAAGGAGAAGGGCAAAGGACGCGGAGTCAAAGCGCTTATCCGATTGGGAGGGAGTTGCGGATTCCCGAGGAAAGCTAGGGTTCCACTATCTTATCATTGGGCTAAGGTGAATTGGGCCTGGCATAATTAAGGTGGGCCAGTCACTTAGTGGAATGGAGAACAAGAGAAACAGTACGTTATGAACGCGGTAAAGCCCAAAGCCTAGGCGGATAAAAAAAATCTGCTAAGTCCTAGGGCGAAACAAGAATTCCAAAAGGGAAACAGTCAGATTACTAAAGAAGTCTATATGGACAAAAATACATCAGGTGTTATCAGTTTACTATCATCTAAATGTTACAAAGCAAAATGCAATAGTCAACAATGAAAGATAAAGTCAAGACCCTGGGTCCACACGAGAATCCGGGGGAGAAAGAGGAAGAGGTAACCCGTAGTATGAGATGAAATCATCCAAGGATCGGTGAGCTGGAAGACCACTCCGGATGGCCTCATAAATGCAGTGTTGCATGTAAAATTTCCCCTCTTCATAAAGGGCTTCAGCACGGGCAGTCAGGCCTGCAACTTCCTCTTGATGGGCAGTAATAGCCTTCTCCAGTTCACCCTTCTTTGACCGGAGCTTGCTTGCAGTCTGTCTCTCTCCTTCAACTTCTCGAGGGTAAGCCGTCTTGCCTCCATGTGCTTCAACGCGAGTTCGTTAAGACGGGAACCCTCATACTTGGCCTCCTGGAGGGAATTCTCCAGTTCAGAGATCCGGGATTCCCTTTCAGCCAACTCAGCTTTCAGGCTGCCTACCTGATCTTCTGAAGCCAAGACCCTGGATTCCAGAATGGAAATCTGTGCCCGGAATCTATCAAACTGCACTTCCAGATCCTGGGTCTCCTTTTGGTAATTGGCAATCTGCTCTTGTAGGGACTGGGCCTTGGATCTCTCAGCTGCAAGCTCCATTGGGCCATCTACCTTGAGCCGAGCATTCTCTTCTTGCAGGACCCGGACCTGCTGTTCCAGGGAGTTGACTTTCTGTTGCAAGGCCCTGACAGCCAGATCCCTCTCCCTCAAGAGCATTGCAGCCCGAAAGTTCCCTGATGCTCCACCCAGGTACTCCTCAGTCAAAGTGAGGAGTGATTGCTGGGCCTAAAAGGAGGATAGGGAAGTCAAGGAAAAGGACTAACCTAAAAGGAGATAAAGAAAATTTCGAAAAGAAAGAGTACCTGCTCCATAAAGTGCAGAGCATTGAGGGCAAGCAGGTCGGGGCGAGTCTGGAGAGTTGTGGGCCCCTGCACTGATTCCCTCATCCTCTCCAGGTTCGCCTGGATAGTCCAATGGGAGGCCTGTAGGGATCTCAAACCGCAGGAAAGGCCTTCCCAACCCTCGGTAAAAGCGGGGTAAGTTTGCGGTGTGAACTTACGCCGGATGGGGATATTGGGGGCTGGGAGTGTGGCCGTAGAACACTGTCCCTTCGGCTCCGGTCGATTCTCAGTCTCTCTTTCCATCTCTGAAGGAGCTTCAGCGTTCCTCTGCTCTCCAACCTCATCCCCTTGTGGGGAGGGGATCTCCGTTTCTGTCTGCACTTCGACTTCCTTCTCCACTGCAGGAGGGGACTCTGGTTCCTGCTGTCCCACAGCTTCTTCCTCCAGTTCTAGAGGGGCAGATGCAGTTTGAGGGAGGGGAGCATTTGTATCAAGCTGAGGTTGCGCCGCTGGTTTTGTGAGTGGCACCTGGCCTGGAAGTTCATCTGCCTCATGATCCAGACTTTCCGGGTTGGGTAACTCCAGCCCTAAACTTCCGGGAGTGGCAGCAGGAGAAGCGTTCTGAGGACCAGAAGAGGTTGACAGGGGGCTGGGTGAAATGGAGATACTATCACCCCTATTCTTCTTTGGTAGGAAGTCATCATCAGAGACTCCCTCTCTTGGTCGTTTCTGCGATGGAATGGGTCTTCTAAGCCCAGGAATGGCAGAGATGGGAACAACGTCCAGGGCAGCAGCCGGGTTGCGTACAGCCAAGGTAGTAGAACCACCTTGGGACCGGCTTCCGGGAGAGCTTGCAGCCGGGTTGGACTCTGCGACAGGAGAAGCCTTCGATCTCTCAAGAGAAGGCACCTCTTCAAAGGGAATCGGGTCAGGACCCAAGGGGTAGTAAAAACCTGCCTTCTTGTACAGTTTAGCATCCTGGAGAGAGTGGTGGGAAATTAAACCCTCCTTCTCCTTCAAGGTATTATACACTCCCTCTGCCAAGTCTGGTGTGGCGAATTTCGTCCGGGAGATGGAACGGCGGAGGACAACACCCGGTAGATCGATGGGGCTGTGAGCCAGAAACTCGATAACGAAGTATTTCAGTGACCATCTGTCGATCTTGAGCTCAACCTTCTCAAAAATGGGAAAATGGTTATGGGGGTATAGGCTGTAAAAGGGGAAACCCCCAATACTGAAGAGCATAAGGAATTCCTCTAGATTTGGGGCTCTGTCCAGGGCACAACACCTCAAGATGAAGGACGCGACATACTTGTGTGCATTGGCGGTCAGTTGACCCGGAGCAAATCCGAAGTGGAGGCAGAGATCGCGAAGCAGACCGTGGAGGGGCAACCTAAATCCATTCTCCACAGAGTGGTACTGCATGACCATATATTTCTGGGGATTTGGATTGTGGGATAAACTAATCCCCCCAACGACATCGGGATGGTGGACCCGGAAGCCCTTGCCCAGGAGCACGGCCATCTCTCGAAGTTCGTTCTCCTTGATAACGGAGGGTCCATGGGTCCAGGTTTCAGGATTCGTAGGGGCCATTCCGGAAAAGGAGACAAGGATTTTGGGAAAATTGTAGTCGAGATTCGGGTCGGGTTAAGATTCAGTAGCGAGAGGAAGAAGATGAGTTCAGAAGAGGGTTTTTATCCGTTGAAAGGGTGGACCCGAGGTACTCGAGTGCGACGTTTCTAATCCGACACGAAGATCGGAGGCGGCTCATCATTAGTTTTCTAGCGACACGTCGCCAGAAAACTAGGGGGCTTGTGATGGATATCGGGTCTGGTAGACCCGACTCCAGGCCCAAATGAAGGCCCATAATAGCCCAAAAGGAATAAGATCAGATGAGGATGACGGGCCAAGCCCGTTATCTCGCATATGGCAAGTAAAGGAAGACGGCCCAGACATGGGATAGATCAAGGTGACCCAGTCCAAGGGAGGAATGGGACACGTGGCCCACATCATCAAGTTGTGGGCGGAATGGGAAGGGAACGAGACCGGAAAGAAGGTGAATCACAACCCCACGATCTCCATAATCCATTTCTATTTTGTATAATTTTAATTAGAATATTAGAAGTACTATAAAAGGGGAAGACCCCGCCGTTGTAAAGCAAGTCACAACAAGACAGTTCAATACACAATCAGAAAATATTATCGAGTGATTATATCTTCCTAATACATATTCCGTTCTTGGTCCGCCATCTGATCGGGTTAATCCCATCAGGTTCAAAGGTGAAACCAAGCTGATACATACGATAGGCGAAGGATTTCATAGCGCCTGGGGAACGCAAGTTGAATCGAACTTCTCGAAGAGGGAGAGTAGATGTTATCGGTTACTATATATATTGATGGGACCAAATTATATCTACCATACTCAGCACCATTATTATATATATTTTGCTCAGTAATTTTCTCCACGATTACAACAAACTTGGGATACTTTTTATAATTTTATAAGAACTGTGAAAATTAAGAGTTTTAGAAATCATATATATACTATATTATGAAATATAATATTGTAAAAATAAGATTATAGTTATATATTTTTACTACTCATTTTTAGTGTATAATTTATATTTTCATTACATTTTTTTAGTGATATTGCATAATTATCTTACTTTTTTAAAAACATTGTAAGTTTTTCTAATTCATTATATTTTCAAAACCATTTTATAAGTTTACAATGGAGAAATTAATGTTACTTTGAATTTGTAGTAAAAATTATACAGTATTTAACTAATACCATCTAATATTTACTGGTACATATGCTACATTATAACAATTTTTAATATACATTATTGGATAGTTAACTAATCGTCATATTAGTAATTATGCATTGTTTTTATGTGTCATTTTGTTTGTCACTAAATAAAATTCTCGCCGTGCATCGCACGGGTTAGAATCTAGTGTAAGTTAAACGCTCATAGTCCACCATATAACTCATTTAAATTTAGATTTTATATTATACTATGTCCAGTATAAAATTGAAGCTTGCATGTCATTTTTTAAACTCATTTCATTTACATTATTGATTCTTTTATAGCAAGCTACCTCCTTTTTTATGATCAAGTGACTTAAATGTTTTAAATGGTAGTGTGATGACAATATTATAATGTGAATGATAGCAGTCTGTGGTGAAGTACCACTTTTAATGGTGGTCGATGCAAAAGAGTGCTACACCTATTTTGCTACACCTATTTTGTAGGTAAAAAAAGAGTGCTACACCTATTTTGCTATTTTCATCATCTTTTACTACTATTTAGGTACTTCTCCTTTGTATTTTCTTTATGGATGGAGCACTATTAGCACTTATTTTCAAAGTTGTGTCCAAATGGTAAATGAGTCCTCTCTTATCCCTGATGATCAAAATGACATTATTGAAGTATTAGATTTAAATAACAATTATATTCCTTACAATCTTACCAAAGTGTTGTATACCCCAAAGTTTTATTTTAATAATGGATATATGACATTGGCATGTCCATTTTCAAATTTATATAGAAAATTTTTTATGAGCAAATATTATTTATAAATTATATAATGAATAATGATTACAATTTTTAATTTTGTATGCCGCTATTACATTTTGTTTGATGTTTTAATCATATACAATGAATAATAATTACAAACTAAGAAAAAATTTCATTTGACCCCATGCATGGCACGAGTTAAACTAGTAGTGTGTGTCTATATATACATATCAATATATATATTTGTATATATACATATCAATATATATTTGAACACCCCTAGTAAGAACGATCAATTTTATCATTACCAATCTACCAATTTTATGGGGTAGCAATCTTTCCCCAAAAAATGGTATAAGATTTCCCCTACCCTATAAATATAAATATAAATATAAATAAATAAATAAATATATATGTGTGTGTGTGTGTGTGTGTGTGTGTGTGTGTGGAAATGAAGAGTTATACCATCCCAAATGGTGTAACTTCATGACAGCATTTCAATCGAGACAACTATGGTGCTTCATTCATAAAATTGTCAATTCATACCTCTCTTAACACCCATCCCCGACCTTTCCCCCTCACCACTGCACTAACCCCCGCAACTGCACCCCATAAGTTTTTTAGACTTTTTCAATCAAAAATTTGACCCAAGTGTCAAAAAACTTATGGACTAAAGATCAATTAATAACTGAAAGACACAGTCGTAGAAGCTTAAATAAAGTGATCAATTGCATTCACTTCATCCTCAAGTCTAATGACACATCTGGCGCATGACATAAATGCGCGCACATCAAGCTTCTCACGCCTTGCTTTGGCGTGCCTTGGTTTTGCGACCCTTGCGTTTACGCCCCTTGCTTTTATGTTCCCTATATGGCTGTGTATGACAAATACAACAGACACATCATTCATCCACAGTTAATCAATCAAAACAGACTAGGATTGCTGACTACAAAAACATGCTTGTTTTTCTTTCTTTTTTAATCGCAAAGTAAAAGAATCGTACTGAGCATTTGAAAGTTTTGTATTTTAACTTGCAAAAAGTCAGCATTTGTACTTTTATATGATATGGCACTTCAAATGAAAAAGGATGGAATGACGAGTAAAATTCTCTTTTTTTAAAGAAGTAAAAGAAAATAAATTAAAACAAATAAATAAGAAACGGTCCTCAATGAACATTGTAGCTTACCGTGGACGGCCCACCAGCCAGTGTGCACTCTCTTTCTGGGAGTTGTGATATTGTCTCACTGCGAATAAAACTGGTGCAAAACAAATTAGTCAAACAATTAAAATAATATAGACCACTTCAATCACAATATTACCCTGCCACACGTGTTGGGAAAATCACATAATCGACTCAAC